AAAACCATATCAATTGCACTTTTTATGTCTAAAAATCCTATCCTTAAGTGTCTCGATGCTCCGTTAACCTTTACAAGGACTCCACCAATAGTCAACCCTGACTGACTTGTCCGACTGAAAATAAAAAAGTATGTCATTGACAAAAAAGTTTGAGAAGCGTTGGTTTAGGAAAAAGTGGTCAACGAATGACATGACATTGGGGAAATGACAACGTCTATTAAATTATCATCACAGTGGGAATCTAGCGCATGGAGCATGGACTAAAGTGGACGCGTCAAAATTCGTTAACCCCAAATTGGGCGGCGGAACAAACAATGCTTTTTCGTCCCACTCGTCCCACTTGCTGAAATGTATTTTTCAAATGTAGTACCTAGGACTGTTGCCAAATGAAATAGGATAATGATAGACAAAGTGTAAATGCCAAACACATTAAGAAAATCTCAACATTATACATTCTACTTTCCTATAATAGTTTTGCTCTAAACTTCGAATTTAAACGCTTTACGTTTGCAGGATAAGGAAAATAAAGTAACACTGGCGCCAACATAAGTTGTCTCTACCATAGTACTCGTACCAAAGCCTAGTTTTGCCATTCTAAAAGCCATAGTTTTCATTGAAAGCGCCTATTCCGTTAATGGACTCTATCTTGTCATCGCGCATTCTGTTTCCCCGCCAAAGAGCACAAAGCTATAATTAAGATAATTAATCAAGCATGCTGCGGCAGAGTAATCGCATGCACATATTAAAGCGATAACTCGCCTTTGCCGGCTAAATTATGTATTAAGTTTCCATAAAAGCTGCTCAGTTCCTCTATAGAATATTCTATAGAAAATCTATGAAAGCTGTTATTAGGTATGACGAACGGTTTTTCCATTTTGTCCCACTTTTGTTTGATCATTACTGCTTGAAAGCTACAATTATCTTGTGTGCTTTGATGTTAATGTAATACTTACATGTCAATATTGCGTTTCCCGTGTTTGTGAGTGGAATTTATTATTAATTTTCCACTTTAATAGGATTCAAAGAAAACCTACTTAACGTGTTTATCAGAACTAACTGGTTCCAAATAACTACGGATTATGATTCTATACATGTGAAAGGATTTTGTCAAGCCCTTCAAGTTTGGGAAGGTCGCAAACAATAATCGTATTAAGGAATCCCACCATTCCTGAACTTTGCCTAACGACTCTACGAAACCGAACCCTTACAAGTTGTGCAGCAGTCGTTGCCCTCGGTGGTGTGTTGTGACGCACGCGTGATCTGTGACGTCACAACTCGCGTGCCGTGTACGAAGTAGGCGGATTAAATACAAATACAAATACAAATCTATTTATTCAAAAGTAAGTACATGCATATAAAAACAAGCAACAAATGTTTAAGTACAGACATTAATGTATCTTACAAAATATTATGATTCTAAAAACATTGAGCTTTGCTTCCTAAGTTAGGGCAGAGCCCTGTATTTTAGGATAAGCAAGCGCTCTTCCCATAGCGAAAATTCGCAAAAAGATACATTTTATAGCTAACTAGGTAAATGTAATTTTTGACACTGGTAGGTATCTCGAAACAAAACGTGTTATAACAAGTTTAACAAAATTAAAATCTATTCACATTACAATGCATTATAAAGCATATTTCCCTTGAGTGTAATGATAAAGGGCATTTGTAATCAGGACTATAAATTACAGAAGTAGAAGAAAATAGTAATGATTTGACTTAAAGTTAATAAGAAGTATTGACTATTCAATCACAGTCAATAACTCTTCAGTCTCATCGTATGTTTTCTGTTGTAGCCACGCCTTAAGAGCTGTGCTACATTCATACCTACTCAATGGATAAATTTTAAGATGTCTATTTATTTTATTATACAAAAATGGTCCAATGGAAGAAAAAAATTTTTTACTAAATTTTGTTTTTGAAATTACTCTAGATTCGATAACAATGTCTTTACGACGCTTGGTTTTTATCCTCTCTGGCTCAAAATTCAATAACTGATGTTGTCTTTTAATAGTACAAAGAATAAACAGCTGACGAACTGTAAGTACTTGACAATCTTTATATAAAAATGTCGTGGAATAGGAAAAAGGTCTAAAAGTGCAAACTTTTAACACAGCTCTTTGGGCCCTCTCTAAAGTTATCATGTTAGATTTGGGAGCACCTCCCCAACAGGATATGCAATAACTTATAAGAGACTCACACAGGGCTTGATAGACCTGTAGTAGTAGACCTCGTTGAGCTACATTTCTTAAGTTTTTAAAGACATAAATTAGTTTTCGCACACGTCCAGTTAAAAGCTGCAAATGAAGTTTAAAACTTAGATTTTTGTCTACCAATACTCCCAGATACCGAATAACTTCAACCCTCTCCACATCTGGGCACTGGCAAAGTGAAGAAAGATTGGTGGTCAACGATCGATAACAATTATGGGCAATAATTTTGTATGTGTCAATTGGTTGCGTTGTGTTACGTATTGAAAATGTGAGGTACTTAGTCTTATCCGCATTTAAAGTTAATTTATTGTTGCGTAACCAGTTTTGCACAAGATTGAAAGACTGTTGTGCCACTTGAAAAGTTTTTTCCCAATCGCTTTCCTCAAAAAGAAGCACTGTGTCATCTGCATAACAGATAGACCTTCCTGAAAGCAAATTCATCTTACAGAGATCATTTATGAAAATTGTAAACAATGTCGGACCCAAAATACTGCCTTGCGGCACACCATAGTGGACAGGTAAATAAGTGCTTTTATGATTTCCGATTTTGACCGCCTGTAATCTGTTTTGCATGTAGCTCCTAAATAGGCTTAGTTGTTTTCCGCGTATTCCAAGTTTTTCAAGTTTATTCATTAGGATTGGGACAGAGACCGTGTCAAAAGCTTTCGCTAAATCCAAGAAAATTGCTAAACATCTTCTGCCAGAGTCCAAATTCTGCGTTATAAATTTAATAACTTCTTGTATTGCACCTTCTGTATTTTTTCCTGGTCTAAAGCCGAATTGATTTTGCGCCAGTAAATTATTAGAGTCCAAAAAACTAATGAGGCGCTTATTAATAATTTTTTCCAATAACTTGGATAAAGCGGGAAGAATGGCAATTGGTCTGTAGTTGTTGACTCGGTCCCTGTCCCCTCCCTTGTGTATTGGTATTACTATCGATTTTTTGAGAGCATCTGGAAATACACCAGTATCCAAACACCTGTTGAAAATATGAGTGAGTATCGGAACAAGCACATCCTTGTGTGTTTTAAGAAAACCGTTTGAAATGTTATCCCAACCGATAGAACACTCATTTTTAAGACTCATAATGAGGGATTCAATTTCAGCTTCATCAGTGTTTATAATAACGAAAGAATTTAGGGGAACAGTTGTTTCATTACAAGAGTTGGAAAGGCGATCGACTGTTTGAATTTTTTCGGCTAAAGACTTTCCGATATGAATAAAAAAATTATTTATGTGATCCACGGCTAAATCGGGTGAGTTGTGGGGATAATAGCAGTTCGTTTGGACATGATTTGGGTTTTTTAGTGAAAGTTATATTTTTGAGTACATTCCAGAGTTTCTTTTTATCCTTTCCAGCACTAGATATTAGATCTCGTTCATATTGCCTTTTTGTGTTTTTAAGTAGATTATTGCAAAAGCACTTGTATCTCTTGTAAGTTGTTTGGATGATTTCATTATTTGGATTTTGCTTAGCTTTTCTAAAAAGACTGTCTCTATTTTTTACACAACGGAGTAAACCTGGTGTCATCCACGCCTTCAGAATTCTTTTATTATTAACGATTTTGCAGGTTGTAGTGTTTTTCAGGTGTAGATTAGATATAAGCTCAATTAATCGATTAACAGCAAGGTTGGGATCATGGATGTCGTAAATAAAACTAAAATCTGTATTTCTCATATCTAAGGTTAGATTTGCCACATTTAGTTTAAGAACTGTATTTGATTCAGATAATTTAGATTCAGGAGCAATACCAGACTTCAGACAAAACAGTACCGCACTGTGGTCAGTAACATCGGACTGAATGACAATTGTCAGTGTGGGCTTTTTTGTTTTTAGCAAGACATGATCAATACAAGTCTTACTAGCGTGTCTAGTAACCAAATTATGAGCTGGTAGAAGACCATAGAAAGCTGTCAAATTAAGATACTTTTCTGTGTGTTTATCAATATTGTTAGGTAAGATATCTAGGTTTATATCGCCCATAATTGCCACACTCCCAAACAACATCATATTTTTTAAAACATTTTCTAATGAATTAATAAAAGAATCAACACTGTTTTCTCTAGAAGGTGATCGGTAAATAGCAATAATTGCTAGTTCTGATCCATTTTTTATTAATAGACAATTTCCGCCTTTAAAAATTGGTTCTTCAATGGTAACATTGAGACCATTTCGCACAAAGACTACAACACCATCATTTTGGTTACTACAGTTCTTGGTTGCAAATCCAATATAACCGTTTACAATTGGAATGATTGGGTTGCAAGATAGCCAACATTCAGTCAAAATAATTATGTCTAATTGAGTTTTTAATCTGTCTATTAATAGAATAAAATTATCCAAATTACACCCGATACTTCGTATATTTTGCGTTATAATTTTCAGATGATTGCCATTTTGTGGGATTAGAGAGTGACATGAGTCAATCTCGGATGTAACGGCCATGGATACCTCAGTTTGATCTAGATCGTTAAAATCTATTAAGTCCCCAAAAAGGAATCCGAAAAATATACTGACAGAAATAAGTTATATGTCACAAAACAAAACTCCAGAACAGCTATAAATTCCTTCCCCGCGTCTAAACAGGTGAAGGTCGACCGCAATACCATAATATAATATAATAATACTGTGTGTAGATTAAACACTCAAATTGTGTTTTATGTACGTGTTTGACTCGCAATCAACACAAATTAAATGATATTACACCTAAATGCGTTTTACGCGTCTGTTCGACGCTTAAGTCAATCATTCGCCGGTCGCGATCAGTCAGTCAGCTCACAGCGACGGACCCAGTCCCATTCGGTCTCTCGAGCCGTGCGCGCGTTCCATTTTCAAATCGAGTTCGGAAAACTTTTCCGGGTTGTCTTTTGTTTTTGTTTTTAACGGCCACTCTGTTACACGTTTTTTTTTTGTTTGAGTGCGAGCACGCTTTGATTGCGAACTTTTTTTTATAAAACAAAAGCTTTGTCCTTTTTTGTTAAACTTGCAAACTTTTTAAATACCTTTGTTTGCAGTTAATCTGTGATATTGCAAAGAAATCTTGTGATTGTAAGTGTTAAAATTCTGATGGTGTTTCGGACGTGAGTGGTATGGTGACCATGGGCATCATAATCGGAACTTGCGTGCCTGATGCCGAGCAAGACGCGGTGGCCTACGGCAGCCAGCTTCGGAGGCCTCCTAGGAGAATACTTTATGGTAATGACTTGATCAATATTTTTCTATCGAGGTTGTTTGTTTTAAAGATCTTTCAATTTTCTTTCCTTTATCGAATATTTCTGTGCATATAGAGTTATGTAGATTGAAGAATTCAATATACAAGGATTGTGAACCTCAAAACATGTGCACAACCTACAACGTGATGTTCCGTAGCAAATTGACAACGTTGTAAACATGTACATGAATAATTCTGTCACCATAGTGACGAAATATTTTTGACGCACTTCACCTCAAGTACGCGTGTGTGAACTTGCCAGATGATTGTCTGTGGGTTTCATAACTTAACAGACAGGTTTCGTTCGCGTAGACTACAAAAGGTTGAAAACTAACAAAAAACTAGACAGTTGAATATCAAGTCCAAACCTCAAAAGTAGTTATAAGACTGTTACAGTATCTGTTTGTATAATAAATCCATTCATCTGTCTAGTTACTACAGTCCTTTATTATTATTTACTAGCTTTCCGCCCGCGGCTTTGCGCGCGTGGACTACATTATGTTCATATTTTACGGAACCCTATTTTTTTCCAAAATAAAATTTAGCCTATGTTACTCGTGGATGTAGCTTTCGAATGGTGAAAGAATTTTTCAAAACGGTCCAGTAGTTTTTGAGCCTATTCATTACAACCAAACAAACAAACAAAGTTTTCCTCTTTATAATATTAGTGTAGATAAATGCATCATCATCATCATCATCATCATCATTTCAGCCATAGGACGTCCACTGCTGAACATAGGCCTCCCCCAATGCATATTGCATATGATAAATGCATATTCATATCCTATTCAAATTATATTTTACCTTCAATATCGACGACATGCCATATCAACCGCTCAGTGGTCCCAATAACTCATCAGGTCATCGATTTTTTAATAACTTACCTGATTGTAGACACCTGTTTTTAATTTGAGCCAGTAATTTCTTTATTCTAATTGGACATTTATATTGTTTCAAATCAATTTTGTTGTCATTTGTTCGATTTACATTCTATTTAAAAACTATTATACCAATTATTACGTCATAATTACTGTATTTAACCTTTAAAAAGGCGGTTATACCCATAACTAACCCGCAACACCCAGACTGGGTTGAAAACTGCACATTGAAACGCAATGGGCCCATTAAGTTATGCAAAGCTCTACAACTCTCGCTAGCGGCAACCTCCGCTGTAATCAGCTGATCAAAGATTGCTAACAGCATTGTAACTAACGATATCGGCAAAATTAACACCTTGATATCCTTTAGTTTTTATCATGTAAAACTCTAGCTTAGAAGGCATTAGTACCTAAATTAGTTCAGCATTTTGAAAAACTATCATCATAGCAATAACTGAACGTGTTTTTGTAAACAATTCCAGGAACATTTTATCGTGCACTAAGCAAGGTGATTCATTTTACCCGCTCAAGCGCTGTCCTATTTTATTTTATAATTGTTATTTATAGAGTCGTAAGTCAGTGAATGCTCATAGTTTGTTCATTGCAAGTCATTAATTAAGAAACATAGTTGTCCATCCCGTCTTTTATGCAGAAAGTGCTTTGAATAACAAGGTGAACGTGTAAACAAAAACGTATGTAGTTCAATCACAACTAAGGTTAAATTCGTTAACAAAACCCTTAATAAAACGCATGTGAACTGCACATCACCTGTTGAGGGTATTGATTTGTTGTGAACCCAAGTAACCGATTTGGGGTACTTTCGCCCCGCGTGGGACGACTCGACAGCTGACCCAGTTCACCCAGTTCGCGCTCGCAGTGGCAGGGTTATAACTTGTGTCCAGTGTAGAGATTTAAAATGGGGAACCGACGGAAAGTTGTAGTCCGAGAGGAAAATTGGAATGTTCTAACTCCGCAAGTCTAATTTTGGACGGGAAAGAGGAATGGTGTAAATTTAGTCGGATGTGTTTGTGTTGATGTAGCTTTTGGGGAAAGATAAAAATACATAATTATTTTTACATTTGTATTCACACAGTTAAAAGTAGGAATTTAAGTTACTGCGATTGTTGATTTTTTAAACTAGGTTACCGTGACAACAATATCAAAACTAACGTTTTAAAAGTACAGTTAAATTAGGATACTAAAGATCGCGTTCACCCGATAATTTCGCGAAGTTACAACTGTATGTCCAATAATTTAATACGTGTACGATAAGTGTTGAAATTAGCTATTCCAGATAGTTCTTAGGAATAGGGAGACCCAGTTGCCCTAGATTTTATTCACTGGAATGTAATAAATGGAATGTACTCAGTATAAATCAAATCAAATCAAATATATTTATTTTGCGAACATGGGTAAATGTAGGTATTACAAGTATTTTAGTATCTCCATCTTCCACCTTTTGGCATGCAAAATTATAAATCAAACTTATCAAATTTCATTTACATAAAAAAGAATTTTCACTTAAATAATGTCAGATCAATCGCAGTCATATTATAATTGAATAAACATTCCACATTACATTTAAACANATTGAGTCTGTTGTATAGGCGAGCGGATAGAATATTGAATTGTCGCCCTGCAAGTGCAGTACGACAGGAAGGTATGGGATGAATCGGATTTACCCGGCGTCTTAAGGATGTTGTTGGATCAAAAACCGTCCTATTATGTCGACAAAGGACAGTTCTGAGGACGAAGAGCTGCCTAACAGTGAGTACTTGGGACTCCTGATATAGGAGGGAAGTGGGGTAGTCCCTTCGTTTGGAGCGCATAACCTTCAGGATAGCTCTTTGCGCTCTCTCCAATTGCAGCACGATTGTTTTATAGGTTCCGCCCCATGCAGGGATGCAGTAGGTCAAAATTGACTGACAAAGACTGAGATAAACAAGCTTCAGAGTGGAAGAGTCTGCAGAGTGTCTAAGTTGCTTGAAGATGTATATCAGCCTTCTGACTCTAACACACATGGCATTGACATGAGAGCGCCAGTCAAGTTTCTCATCTATGAACACCCCTAGGTATTTTATACTGGGGACCAGAGAGACAGACATACATGAGCATCCATTTGATGTCTCAGTATCAGAGCAGGTGTGCGCTCGAATCGTAGTTGCAGTATCAGTAGGATTCTGGTTTGTCAGTGAGAATTTGATACACTTGGTCTTATCTACATTCAGAGTGAGCAAATTTAGGGACAGCCACTCCATAACCATTTGGAGAGCATGCTCAGCACTAGCTGAGGCAGACTGCCAGTCTCTGTCATACACCAAAAGGGCCGTGTCATCGGCGTAAGTAAAAATGTCGCAATTTGGGATGGATAAGCGGCACAGGTCGTTGATGTAAATCAGAAAGAGTGTTGGCCCCAGAATACTGCCCTGAGGGACCCCGAAGCCCAGTTCCTCATCAGCACTAACAACTGTATCTATCTTCACTCTCTGGGAGCGTCCGTGAAGGTAGTCCTTAAATATGTTGAGTGCAGAGCCTCGAATTCCCATGTGCTCCAGTTTAGAGACGAGTATCGGGACAGAGACTGTGTCAAAGGCCTTGGAAAGGNCGGTCGCCGCAGTGATATTAGGACTTTATTGAACTAGAATAGCCGCTCAACTCAATAAAAAAATAGTTCTTCTGCGTTTGAAACACAAATTAGTACAGTATAGGAGAGGAATAAATTGCAAATAGTTTGTACAGTATCAGTATCGGCGCGCCGACAGCTGGTCGTCGGCGGCGGCGGCGCGCCGGCGTGGCGCCCACCTCTACTACAGACTTGAAATTTTGGATTTAAAGTATGTGATTATAGCTTACTAGATGACGAAAATTTCTGCGTTCTGGTCTTATCCAGAGGTTCTCAAATAGGGGCCTGAAAATGCGGCGAAATGGTTCCAGTAAAGGATGGTACGGCAGTGTTTGCTTCGCGCTCGACTTGGCGGGGGCACTGCCGTGCCCCCAGATAATCCATCCATAGCCATCCTTTATGAAACGGCATGTCTTCCACCAAAGTAAAGAAAGAACGACAGGTGCCAATTAAGATGATGAACTGGGAAATGGACAATCAGAACATAAAAATCAAATTATAAGACTTACAATATTGATTAACGATTACAATGTTTGTGTCATGACTTCATGGCAAGTGTACCTATCATTCAGATGGTCAAGGGGATTTTAAACTACGCAATACTTCTGAAACCACATCATTTTATAAAACGTCATACGCATACAAATATTTCTCTATCACAAGCGTATTGTTGTCTGTCTACGAATGTCAAAACATTGTGAAATTACGGGCTACTTTAAAATCAATTTGTAACATTACAGAGTATTGTTTGTATAGTTTTCACGGATTCGGATCGTGTATGCGCCATTCTCTGTGACACCTTCTCACTTTTGTCTCGGTAGTACCACAGAATAATAATAAGTACTACGTACAGAAGCTTTACTTCGCGAAAGTATTAAAAAAAAAATATGCTCAATGTCATTAACAATATGGTGTAATTTAGCCTGTCTCAAGAGTCAAGCACCATTTTGTTGACAAACGTCAGTGATCGGAACTGCGCCGAAGCTATAGGGCTGACTTCGGTAAAATGATGTGACGTGAGGTGCCAAACTGCGGAAAATGGTGGAGGAAATACATGATTTAGCATGAATTATCAGGAATAATATTAACTACTTATTTACCTCTCAGTGTCTTGAGGCAACTTAAAAAAGCACATTCTGTGTTTTTATTATTATTTAGGCAGTTAAATATTGCACAGTATTTAGTACACCATTTTCTTTATTTTCTTCCATCATACACAAGAATACGCGTGCGTGAGTCAATGTTCGCTCGTATGTGAGGCCTTGTCGAATAGTATCCTGTAGGTGGGCCATCGTGCGTGTTTTGTTTTCGATGTAAACTCGCGGAGATGAACAGGCCTGGTAGTACTTGCAAGCCGACAATATTCAATTCTTCTTTTCGTGTCGACAACAAACCTACACAGTGTGATAATATTCAATACACTTGCAATATAGAAGAGGACATCATCACTTCTTAGTGGTAATCGCGCGCGTGGTCGTGGTCA